AGAGGTGTTACAAGAGAGTAACAAACACAAAAAAGAAGGAGGGGAGATGAAAAGACGATAAACGTTTGGTAAGAAAAAAGAAGTCAACCACACAAGAGCACCTGCCAACCATCCACATTTACCTGTTTCATGTCAAACTTGAGTATGTCCGCCATATAGGTGGGCAGGGAGGTAAGCAGGGTGTAGAAGCCCCAGTTACTGGCGAAATGAGCTCCCATAATGCCCCATAGGGCCGGGGATAGGAAGATCTGCTTCCATGGGGGAGATATGTGCTGGGGATGGGATGAATGGAGGGTAAAGATAACAAAAAAACCTCTCTCTCTCTCTCTCTCTCTCTCTCTCTCTCTCTCTCTCTCTCTCTCTCTCTCTCTCTCTCTCTCTCTCTTTCTCTACCATCTACCTGTAGCGTTAGGCTGCAAACGCACTGGCTTCACATTCCCCACGTTTTCAATTCTCCGTTTAGGGGAGTGAAAGTTTGAGTTGATTACACAAACGTACTGACTTCACATCATTCCTTTCTCCCCCGTGATTAAAAAAAACCCAACAACAATGAAACCTTAATTTCTACTTTGCACTCCAACTTTTTTAGCAATGTCTACCCACTGCTTGTTGACGTAATTTCTGTTTGAGTAAATGTTTTGTGATTTATCAAAAAGTACAGGTCTCTTTTACACCGCTGCAATTAATGCTTCTTCCTTCTTGTCTACCCAAGTTCTGAATCAAGTGTCTCGATATATATTAGATCTGTATAGAGCCTACAAAAAGAAAGAAGTGAACAACCAAAAGAGTCAAAACATATTATGCAGGTCGAGGTCAGCGGGTTTACAAAAATTATTTTTTAATTGTCTAAAAGGGTCTAAAAGGGCCTAAAAGCTCCAATCTCGCGCGTCCATGGGTAATTATCGTCGCACAATCCAAATCAGATGTCAAAAATACAATTTAATGCAATGTTGATTTGCATGAATTTCAGCTTTCTGCATCCTGACTGTGGTAATTTCAGAGGTTCCGCTCATGGACCGCAGAATGACGATTTGCAGAGAGTAATTTTACTGCAGCGGTAAAATCAAAGTCCTAAAGGGTGGGCCGAGAAAGTGAGGGGATTGTGATGTGAAGTCAGTGCGACGCCGGATTTAGGTTCAAGAAGGCTTCTGTCACATCTGCAAGTTGGGTGACGGTAGCAATATGAAAACGTGGGGAACGTGAAGCCATTGTGTTTGCCAGTAGTTCACCGGCACGTGATGCTTGCTCACGTTTCGTCGTGAGTTCATACTTAACCGTGTAGGCTATAGAGATTATAAATTATGTTCAGTTCTTTTTAGTGTTATTCGCTTGCTGGTATAGTGCGCTTCAGGCTAGACCTACGCCATGTTCGACGATAAATCTGTGTGAAGGATGTAGGTATGTAATAAACGACTTCAACCTATATCACATCCTTTCTGGAAATCTTTCAACTTTCCATTGGTGACCCCGACGTGACCCAGACTCGCACACAACATGGACAGGTCAGTACTCCTAGATTTAGCCGAGGGAATAAGACAAACCGCTGCCACCTGGTCACGAGTATACCAGTCAGTCGTTTTGGCCGTTGCTTTCAAATCGCCGCCTTTCTGATCCCCATACGCCAGAGCGTGGTTTTTACGTTTGGAGGCGGCTTTTGAGACACATTCGCCACCAATAACTCTAACGACAAAACTAGGTTCCAACATAAATTAAAATAAATTAAGTAAATTATACTCTTATTTGTCCCAGAAGGGCACTTTGCTTTACAATGGCAAACATACATACATTGTTGTTGTTGTTTTCAAATTCCTTTAGCTGCGAGCATTTCGCTCTTGGCAGCGCAATGCCTCCTTCAAGTAACGACATGTCCTTAACATACATACATAAATACGTAATTATTAATACGTACATACATAAATACATGCATAAATACATACATAAGTACACAATATTACACAAATACAGAACAGTTTACAATCATGCCACTGTGCAGCGCCCTATATTTTGAGCTAGGGTTGTCGTG